CGGGTCGGGAGGCGACGGCGGCGGCGCCGCCGCCGCCGCCGCCAGCAGCGGCGGTGGCGGAGGCCCCAGCGGTGGCAGCGGCGGCATCAGTTCCGCTGGACTTGCCGTACATTCAATCTCTCGCGCTGTTGGACCGCCGCTACTGGTCGGAGCTCCATGTGCCTGGGGCGGATGCGCCGTTTCGGGTACGGAAGTAATGCCGTACGGGCCTACCATATGTCGTACATTACGATACCTAGGAGAACGTCGAAGTTGACTGTTATGACCCTTGAAGGGGGTTGTTGGTGATCCCCCCACGGCGCTCCCTAGAATGCTGCCCTCCCCCCCCTTCCCATACACACACGCACCCCACACACCCACACACCCACAAACCGCTCTCTATGGGTACGTGTATTCGCACTCCGCACATTCCGGTCAAAAAACGTTCCCCTTAACCCGCACACGCGCATATACATACGAACATACAAACACATTGTGACTTCTCCAGCCCTTACTTCTCGCTGCTCAGTTCATGTAAACACAACATCCGCACATATCCATACACACCCTGGCCAGTGTCAGGCCCGGTCAGATACTTGCAGCGTTCACACACGCACACCCATGCCCCTACACACACTCGTACACAGACGGGAAAGGGGCCGCTGGCGAAGTTAACCACCCTGTAACGACATACACGTACATACATACATACACACAGGTTCGCGGCGCCACCTATCTTAAGGACCGCAAGAAGGTCCCCGCCGGCCTCCCAGCCTTCAGCCTGGGGGCAGTGGAGATGATCCAGCTCCCGCCCCCCGGGGTCCCCGTGGGCCGGTACCGGCTCCCCCGACGGGGGGGGAAAGGGGGGCGGGGGGAGGAGGGGGAGGGGGAGGAGGAGGAGGAGGGTGGCGGGGGCAGCGCAAGGACCAGCAGCAGTGGCGGCGGCGGCGGCGGGGGAGATCTTCCGGGAATACCAGGTGGGTGTGTCGTCGAGTGTTTGTTTGCGTGTGATGAGTGTATGGATGGATCGTTGGTTGGTTGGTTGGTTGGTTGGAAGGACGGAAGGAAGGGAGGGTAAGTAGAGCAAGTATTATACACGAAATTGCACATGAGTGTTCTGTTGTACGACGCAGGCGTGGTGGAGCACGTTGGTCGCTTCCTTCCTGCCGTACGATTCAGCGGGGCACCGTTCTCCATCGTCATGCATCTGGTACGACAAAACACCCGCGGGGGGAAAAGAGGTGACGAGTCCACGGTAGGGGGAAAAGGACTACATATGTAAGTTCGTACAGTTGTACGAACTGTTTCCCGTTTCCGTACGAAAAAAGGTACTTGTGCTTGTGTGTACGTCACGACTTGGCCCACCTGGCCGCACCCGCGTGTCGGTGTTTTCCCCCCTCCTCCCCCCCCGGGTAACTGGTGAGTGGAATCCTCAGGGCCAGCCCCCCTTTCACCTCCTCCTCCTCCTCTTCCTCTTCTTTCCTTCTCACCTCTGTCGTACGCGGACCGGCCGATGTCCGTTGAAGTAGATTACATTCGCATTATTCCCCCTCTCCCTCACCCACACATACTCTCCACCGCCATTCCACCCCCAACCCCCATACACATATTCTCCACCGCATTTACCCCCCCCCCTTTCCCCCTCCCTCCGCTTCTCTTCCTACCAACTCCCTCTCCTCCCTTGGGCTTGGCTTTTCTTTTGCGTTGGAAAGAACGTTCGCGTTTGCGTTCTTTCCAACCCCCTTCTTTGCATTCTGCCGGCGTACACGCCGTCCAATGCGTCATCCCGTCAATGCGTCATCCCGTCCAATGCGTCATTAGGTCATCTCGTACGACACCTTCTGTGTCGTCCTGCGCCGCCTTTTGCTATTGTTTTTTAGTTCCTGCGCTTTCTTCCGTTTTCATATAGGTTCTTTAGGGCTTCTCGTTTCCAGCTTCCCCGATCAGCAAGTTTAATACTCCTTTTCAGCAGCATTTGCATGCGTTTTCGTATTTTTCTTTCGCTGCTCACAACTCCCCCACCTCTCTGCCTTGCATGTGCCTTTACCCGCTGCTCCTGCTGCCTGGCCAGGTGAGTCCAAAAGGTGGTTCGAGCTTCTTTGGTATTTCGCGTTGGCGTCGGTAGGCTAGCCGGAATAGTTTAGTTGGGTCGGTCGGGTCAGTCGCGCGTTCTAGTTTTTTTTGGGGGGGTTGGGAGGAGCACTTGCATACCGGCAGCCTTTCAGTATCAGCAATGCAGCTTTCTCTCCTGGCCAGCAACTTTACGCCACTTTTACGTCAGCACTATTTTTATCGCCGCCTTCACTACTTTTCTACACCTACTAGTTTACGGTTTGGCTATACTATTCAGCCTTTTTTTCTGGCGGCTTAGGTAGGTAGGACTTCCAACATCTACGTCAATTCGTCATCCCGAGGTTACAGTCGTCATCCCGAGGTTACAGTCGTCACAGTCGCCACGGACGCCTTTCGGTCAGTTCTTTCGGCTGCTACTATCTTGCTCTGGCAGCAGCTTCAATCGCGTGCGGTTCGTCTTTCCCCCTCCCCCCACCGGCCTGACAGGTAATACCGGGATCCCCCCTTTTGGGCATCCTTTCTGTGTTTTGCTGCGACAAGCACCCCTCCATTTTGGGCTCCCCTCCCGTACGACCCATGGACGAGCCACATGACTGGCAACCTTTTGACTTTGTACTGCACAAGTAAGTGACGGTTGGTACGGCTGGCAGGTTGGTGGGGGAGGTGGAGGAGGTGGCGACCTTCGTGCCAACGGCCAACGGTTAACCAACGATACCTAATCATTGCCGTCGCATGTCGTACAGGTTTGTGTACGGCAGTGACGAGACTCGCAACAAGATGCTGAAGCTGGTTCCCCACATCGCCTCCGGTTCCTGGATGATCAAACAGTCCGTGGGCACCACTCCGGTCATTATTGGCAAGGCGCTCAAGACAACCTATCACTGCACACCCACGTACATAGAGGTAGCAGGGGAGGGGGGAGGGGGAGTTGGAGGGTGGAGTTGGACAAGGACAGGACAGGACAGGAGGAGGGGTGAAAGGGAGGGAAAGGAAGTGGGAAAGGAAGAGGGAAAGGCGATATATTACTAAACAGGACAGAGCCGCAACATAAAAAAACGGATATGTTCATCGATTAGTATTTGTCTATTTGTGAGAATTCTGAAACAAGTGCGCGAATAAATAAATTAATACGTTTTAAAAAATTGTAAATTAAATATGAACCCGTAATAAAAACAGTTATAAAAATATGTACTTAAATAAATGAAGTTACCCGCAGATCAGAGCAACATGCCAAAGTATAACCTTTTTAACGAGCTCACTGATACCTTTTATTGGCCGACACCTTGTACGGCATTACCAGTACGGCATCCCCCCTTGCAATAATGCACGTACGGCTCCCTGTACGGCGCCCATTTAGGTGGATATCGACATCTCCGCCAACTCCGTGGCCAACTATGTGACGGGTATGGTGCGAGGTGCGACCACTTCCCTAGAGATCGACATTGGAATGGTTCTCGAGGGTGAGTGGGTGGTGGTGGAGTCTCTGGCGTGTGCGACCGTGCGTGTCTGTGTGTCTGTGTGTCTGTGTGTCTGTGTGTCTGTGTGTCTGTGTGTCTGTGTGTCTGTGTGTCTGTGTGTCTGTGTGTCTGTGTGTCTGTGTGTCTGTGTGTCTGTGTGTCTGTGTCTGTGTGTCTGTGTGTCTGTGTGTCTGTGTGTCTGTGTGTCTGTGTGTCTGTGTGTCTGTGTGTCTGTGTGTCTGTGTGTCTGTGTGTCTGTGTGTCTGTGTGTCTGTGTGTCTGTGTGTCTGTGTGTCTGTGTGTCTGTGTGTCTGTGTGTCTGTGTGTCTGTGTGTCTGTGTGTCTGTGTGTCTGTGTGTCTGTGTGTCTGTGTGTCTGTGTGTCTGTGTGTCTGTGTGTCTGTGTGTCTGTGTGTCTGTGTGTCTGTGTGTCTGTGTGTCTGTGTGTATGTGTGTATGTGTGTATGTGTGTATGTGTGTATGTGTGTCTGTGTGTATGTGTGTATGTGTGTATGTGTGTATGTGTGTATGTGTATACACCTCCCAGCCACCACCGCCCCGCACCACTTATCCACAGCAGCCGTTATCAGATGGTTTGAGTTCCCTGCAGCGCCATAGCATGGCGGGAAATGGAAAGAGAAGTGTGGCAGATATACTGCCCTAGACCGGTTCAAAGATCATCTTTTGTAAATCATCACAACCGCAACCACCACCACCACAAGCCACAACCATTTTCCACCACAACCACAACAACCAACCTAAAATACCTGTCACGTCAACCAACCACCTCCAACCACCACTGCAACTAACCATAACCCCACTAGGCTCGGCGCCCTGGGAGCTCCCGGAGTGCCTGCTGGGCGCATTCCGGGTGCACCGGCTCGACACGGGGCGGGGGGCGGTCTGTGTGGACTGGAGTCGGGAGCTCCCGCTCAAGGGGGGGGGAGCGGGGGGGGAGGGGGGAAGGGCAAGTAGGGGGAGAGCGGAGGGAGGGGGGAAGGGCAAGTAGGGGGGAGAGGGGGGGGCGGGGGGAAGGGCAAGTAGGGGGGGAGCGGAGGGAGGGGGGAAGGGCAAGTAGGGGGAGAGGGGGGGGAGGGGGGAAGGGCAAGTAGGGGGAGAGGTGGGGAGGCGAATCCACAGACAGATGAAGATGGTGGGGGAAAGACACGAACCACGGACGAGTGAAGCAGGGTGAAGCAGGAAGCGGGGGGAGGGAAAGGCTGGTAGTGGGAGGGGCCCAGGCAAAAGCAGGTAGGCTGGTAAATTCGTGTTCAGGATGTGCTATCCGACGACAATGCAAGCGGGAAGGCCGTCGTGCGGAAAGCAGGAAGGGGGAAAAGCTGTGCTGCGCTGTAGTCGAGCAGCTGTATGACGCTGTACGACTTTGTTCCTTGTCGTAACTTGAACGTTGGCTGAGCATGAGGTTTGTGGTAGTGAAAACGGAGCGATGGTGGTGGTGATGGTGGTGACGGTGATGGTTTGATGGTTGTTTTGATTTGGAAATCCGTGTTTTGAATCTTTTGTTTCGAATCCTTGTTTTGAATATTTCATCTCGTTAACCGGAGGATTTCGCCGTCTCAGGTCATTTCCCGCTTCTCCCGTTTCGGGCTTTATGTAGAACGCCCCTTTTGGAGTTTTCGGATGTTATTCCGTAATTCTTTTTCTTTTTATGAATTTCCTTTTTATGAATTCCTGGGTTGTATTGGGCCCCATTTGGCGCGGGCTGTATCAAACGACATCCGTATGTGTGGATCAACGGACGCCGTACATCTTAACGGACTTTAACGGAAGCATGGTCGTTCTTGATGAATTCCGTTGGAAGTCGCCACACTAGCCTATTGGGCACAGACGGGGATGCGGTACGGCAGTAGCGTTGGCATCTCTGGGAAGGGCCGGAGAGAAAGGCGATTGGAAGCCTAGCATATATGGGGGATATGGGGGTGGGTGCAGGGCGGGGGCTGAAGAGGAAGCATACCAGCATAAAATAATGAATCCACAACGGCCAACAACTACCAACGGCTAATAGCAACGGTAAAGAAGTCTACAACGAACTCCCATGTCTTCGTCTACGATGTACTGTAGGTAGGGACGGTTAAACATGCCTTTGCAGGCCTGCCAATCATTAAAATAAAAGCGATTATTCATCCCATTTCAACGTTATATACAGCTTAGCTCCAGATTAGCTCCTGGAGTGGATGAGCACTTCCGCAATTGTGGATGGATGCTGGGATGGGGCTCCGGTGCGCTTGCCAGAGAGCGCGTAAATACACGGTTTGTACGCACCCCGCCAGCCCGTACGTATCCCAGATGAATGCACATGATTAAAGAGAGATGGGATGCGCCATGTGATACGCTTCATACGCGTTTTGCGCAAGGGAAAATCCAAGGTATCGAGATTCGGTTGTACGTGTACGGAAGTAAGTTCACGGCGAGGCCCGCTGGTGTGCTCAGGCCGGTCGTTTTGGAAGAAATATCGATATCTTTGTCTTGCTTCGCAATTTGGATATAGAGTTGGGTTGCCTGAAAGAATTTACGCCAGATAATTTTGTGCTGTTGTTGACCTACCGTAACTGTGAAAGCTCAACCTTTCCGAGGAAGCTTTAAACAATGTCCTCACGTTATTTTGAACATGATGATCGTGAAGAGCCAGAAGAAAGACCCAAAAGGTCAAGTCACGCTGGTGGAACTCGTTTCGACAGGAAGGAGGATCGCTTGCAAGGTCGTCCAAAAATTGGTAAGGGTTCTCGATCCCATGGAGCTATGAAATTTTCTCGTTAGGTTGCTTGCATCCGGAAGCCGGTCATTGCATGGCATTGAGCAGATTTGTTTGTAATTTTGCAGGAGACCGTTTGACATATCCTTCAGATCGCGATCCCGATACGTCTGCGCGCGGCAATCGCTCGTTACGAGACGCACCACCCACAGAACCGCCACGTTTCAACAAATACAGCGGCCATGACGACCGCGTAGAGAGAGACGACCCTGATGGCAACGGTCCAACGGGACGCAAGAAATACAACGGCGATCACGCTGATAATCGCGGCTGGGAACGTACAGCGCTTGGCCGCGGCGAGCAGAAGGAGAGATGGGAGCGTCATGATAGCAGCGCTGGAGCAGGGGGCTTCCGGGGAGGACGCGGCGGTTACCGCGGCGGCTCCGGAACCGACGACTCCCGAGTCCGCCGTGACGGCCACGACGACCGTGACGAGCACGACTACAGCGGGGGCCGTGATGCTCATCGGCGCCGTGGCGGTGGCGCCGGTGGCGGTGGCTGGGATGAGTAAGTACTGTGCCTTACAGCCTGTGCCCCCTTGCTGCGACACCTGCCGCTGCTCCACGACCAGCACCAGCACCACCAGCACCACCTCTTCCCTCTCTCCCCGCCCCATGTTTCTACACGGAACGACATGAACAGTGAAAACGATAACGGCACGATGATCTGGTTCTCCGGAGGAGGACCCAATCCCCCGCGAGAGAGGCACGCATCTCAATGTGACACAAACAGTTCCGCCATCGTTCCTCACTCTCCGCTGCTCTCACTCGCCATCACGTTTAGGAATCGGGGACTGAGGGACTGCGTTTCTGTTAGAAATCCAATCATTCCATCGTCCCATGTAGGCGCCCCGGCAATCCGGGCGGCGGCGCCGGTGGTGGCGGTGGAGGTCGATTGTCTCGCACCTTGGAAGCCAGACTTGGAGAGCCCCGAAACAACACCGCCGCTGGAGCAGCGGCCTTTACAGCCGACCGAGGCGAGGGTGGCGACGGTGGGTACGGCGGCGGCGGCGGGTACGGCAGCGGACGCGGTGGATACCGTAACGAGCATGACGATAGAGACAACGACGGCGGCTGGTACGCTTACGGCGGCGGAGGTGGCGGTGGCGGCCGGGGCCGCTACCGCGGGGAGCATGATGACCGGGTAGCAGACGGCGGCGGAGGCGGAATCGGCAGGTACGGCGGCGGAGGCCGTGGCGGCGGCGCCCGGCACCGTGACGAGCATGACCACCGGGACGCGGTCGGGGACGACGACGATGACGACGACGGCTATGGAGCCCCCGGTGGTGGCAAGGGCCGCGGGGGCGGCCGGGGCCGGGGGCGCGGCTGGGGCAGCAGCCGGCTTCAGGACGACGCTGGCGGGTACGTGGAAACCACAAGGGGGCCCCCACAGGAATCTTTTCATGCCAGGTTACCAGAAATGAACTGCCGGCATCTCAGGAAGAGGAAGAGGGGGGCCCGCTGCAGGGAATTTTGTGTCGTGTGGGGAAGGGTGTGCGCGCAGGTGGAGGGACAGGGCAGGGAAGGAACGGGGGGCCTGGGTGTGCAGCTGTAGCGGGATGCAACGGTTGGGTGCAGCAGCTGGGAAAAAGGGGAGGAGCTCTGCAAATAGTACATGTTGTTTTGTGTTGTGGCCGGTAGACAAGGCCCGCGCCAGCCAGCTCAGCCGTTACTTAGCCCGCTACGTAGTCCGTTCGTCCGGTGCAAATAGAGGGGTATTATTAAAGAGGTGCTGGGGGGAAAGTAGCATTCCGCATACAGCAATTTTATGTGTTTGTGGGGGTGGGGGTGGGGTGGGGGGGCCCCGGGGGGGAAGTGATGGTGGCCACCCGCAGCGGCTTTGGCACACACGACACACCCCGCACAATGTTTAAAGCACGTTGTTTGTGTCACAGACACCCACTCAGCCCACCACCTCCACCACCACCACCTCCAGCTCCACCGCCACCTCTGGGGGAACACCCCATTTTCATCTCCGCAGTTCCCGGAAACACATCTTTACGGGCTACTCACGTCGGCCCCCGCGTCATACCTGTTGGAAAGTGACCGACACTCACATACATACATACATACATACAGTGACAATGGTGACAGCAGTAATGGGACCCGGGGAGGGGGGGTCTGTGGCGCTTTGCTGTGTTTAACAATTCCCCGTAAAAAAGAAACCCACGAAATCCATATCCGCAGGCAAGGCCCGTACGCCCGCAACGGCGGAGGCGGTCGGGGTTGGGGCCGCGGCGGTGGCCGCAGGCCGTACGGCGGTGAAGCTGACGGTGGCGGGTACGGCCGCCGCGGAGGCCGCGACCGGGAGCGGTCCCGCAGTCCCATGGGTCGCTGGGGACATGACAAATTCCAGGAACTGGTCGAGGAGGAGGAGAAGGCGGCGGAGGGGCAGGAGGGTGGTGAGGGCAAGGACGATGTCGTGCAGCAAGACGGCGCCGCGGGCTGGGGGGCGGGAGCGCAGAGAGGGTTGGGGCCCAGGCGGCGTTGGGGGGCGGGGCCAGAGGCGGGCCTGGACCGAAATGGTAGTGGCGGCGGTGCCGGTGGAGAGGGCGACGAGGCGCACGGGGATAAACTGGATGATGAGTTAATGGCGGAGGCGGCGGAGGCGGCGGCGTACGACGACCTGGGCGACTGACGACTTTGTGCTGACGGACCGCTGAATAACGAACTACTAATTACTGCACTTTTCGCATGGTGTGTGTGTGTGTGGTTGTGCCGGAACGGGGTCGGGGAATAATATGTCGGGTCGGGAAATGCACACAAAGAGGTTTTCTCGGTGTGGGATGCTGTGGAGATGAGGGGCAGGGGCCTGCGTGCACGTGTGCGCGCGCGTGTGTGTATGTGTATGTATGTTGCGTACGGCACATTGCGTGTGTGGAACACGCTTGCCTAGGAAGTATGCGCGCATGTGTGTATGTCTGTACATGTTGCGTGTTGCTCTGTGTTGCCGAATGGTATCGCTCGCTCGCGCGCTCGCTGGTTCCCCCGAGCCGTCTGACCGAGTTGGTGAAACCCAGCGCATTGTGTTGTCTTGCATGTGTACGAGGTCCAAAGTACCGGGCACTAACGTACCGTACCGGACTGCGGAAGGGTACGAGCGGGGCACATAGGGCACGAGGATATGTGTGTATGTGTGTGTGTGTATGTATGTGTGTGTGCGTACGGATGGAAGGATGACCGAACCGATCAGGATGACCGTTAGTGAGAGAGAAAGAGAGAGACACATCGCGCACAAGACAACTGGCAACATCACTTTTCGACATGCATGTTGGGGAGGGCCGACAGCCAGGGGGTGGGGTGGGGAGTGATTTGGAAGCTTCGCACTTCGTGAAGAGGGAAGTGGAAAGCAGGAAGAGGTGGTTGGGGTTGGTAATCTGGTGACTTGAATAATAAGGGGTTAGGGAATGGGGTTTGTGTGGAAGAGAACTTGGGGGATCGTTCGGGGGGAACGGAAAAAGGGGGGCCGGGGGAGAGGGGTGAGGGATTCTTCACGTAGCCACGTAGCTCGACACAGAACCCCCTTTTTCCCCCCACCCCCTTTTTTTGCCGCGTCATGGGTGGCCCATGACTCACACGAGATCACGCGAGTATCTACGGCCGCGGACAGCTTTCCCCTCTCCTTTCTTCATAACTTACTGCCCTTAACTTACTGCCCTTTCACCACTTCCGCCTGCTGGTGGGCTGATGGGAAAAACCCCATGACTCATGGAAGGGTGGCAAGGCGAGACCCACTGCAGTGCGTGCAGTAACGGCCCTACCTCTAGGAAGTGGAAATATTGCTGTAAGACATTTTGATGGTGGTTAATACCCCTGCTTGCTTGTCTTGGCAATTCGTCTGAAACCAATGTAAATGAAAATCGTGTGGAAAGCTAAATCGCCAATCGATCTACAATGCGGTTCAATCCGGCGGCAATCTCCATCCTCTGTTCCGTCCATCCTTTTCGACTTCCTTTTGGGCAAAGTTTAGACTTTTTGGCAAATTTCACTGTCTCACTGCAGCGAGTGCGACTGCGAGCGCGAGTGCGGTGGGCCGCGCGCCGTGGACTTGTGTTGTTGTTACTACGCAGGACGACCCCCATCCGGGCTCTCCTACCCCACTACCTCTCTCCGACAGGAAGCGACTCCCTCATCTGCGTGTCGTGGTGCCCAGCTTGATGGAGGTGGCGGTGGTCGATTGTTGATGGGGGTTGGCTCAAGTGCTCAATTTGGGCCCGGGCTGGCCTAATGGTGGTGATGGTGGTGGTGGTGGTGGTTGCCCGGTTCTCTACTTTGTGCTGGGGATGATAATGATGGTGACGGTGTCAAGCCTCACACCGTCTACCTAGTCCAGACTTCCAACTTTCAGCTTGACGAGAGGGCTCCCCACCCTGTGTACACCACCCCCCACCCGCGTTATGAATTACCCGCTCGCCTGTGGGGGAGAGAAAGAGGGGGGGCCGCTTGTACATTACGTTTACCTGGCTCACCTGACGTATCAGGCTTACCTCTTCAGCTACACACCACACCCACGCTCGAGCTATCTGCTGCAGTGGCTGTGCGGCGGTTGCAGCAACCTCGGCATCCCAGCCGCCGCAATAATCCCCCAACCCCCCTGCATCCGTACAGGCCGGTAGCTAGAGCGGCACGTGTGACAATTGATGGGTAGTGTCAACGTGGTGGGAGATGTGCTTGTTGCAGCAGTGCTGATGCTGTGGGAGGTATGCTTGTCAGAGCACTGGAGGCAGGAAGCCGGGGCTCATTACCTGATGAAGAGACGGTGTCTCTCTGGAACCTAGCAGACACGGCTAAGAGTCATTGACCGTTACACGCAGTCTGGAGGTCCGCGACCTGCCACCGACAGCCCCTTGCTTGGGCGTAAACGTATGAGTCTGAGGTGCCGTTACCGGCACACAGCAGGGGCTCGGCCGCCAAGTCCGTGGTCCAGGCCGGCTGCTCAACACTCAGCAGGCACAATCGCAGCTTGCCAGCCTTCAGCCTTTTGGCTTTGCGGTCTGGTGCCGCAGTCCTAACACACACGGAAAACAACACTGCACAACACCGTATGCATTGCCTACGGTGCCCCTTCGGGCATTAACCTGCCCCTTCGGGCGCCTGCCCACGCGCCCTTGGCGCCCTCTTAGCTCGACACAATTCCCCTAAGCTCTCAGCATTTTTTTGGGCGGGGCCCCAGCGCGAAGCGCCTTTGTCCGTGTGTGTGTGCGTGTGTGCGTGTGTAACGGACCAAACATAATATCTCGCCCGGCTGAAACGTGTTATAGGTACTATATATCATTCTCTATCGCAAGGTATCTCGCCTGTAGCCAACAAAAATCGTATGAGCACAAACAACTTTGGCTGTCGAGGCCAAAGTCACATCAACGCCTCTCGGGCTAAATTTAATCTCAAAAGGTACCGCGTATCTCATATTTAAATTCTTAGATGAAGGCGTATGATAACTCGAGCTCCCAGGCCTTGAGTGTGTAACGGACCAAACATAATATTTCACCCGGCTGAAACGCGTTATCGGTACTATATAGCATTTTCTGTTGCAAGGTATCTCGCATGTAGCTAACAAAGATCGTATGAGCACAAACAACTTTGGCTGCCTCCATTGACCGAGCTCATAGTCACATCAACGCCTCTCGGGCTAAATTTCATCTCAAAAAGGTGCCGTGTATCTCATCATTGATTTCCGAGATGACAGCGTATGATAACTTGAACACCCAGCTTGTGTTACCATTTGCCCGCACGGGCATTCCGACTTGCCACCAGCAGGCCGACAAACTTGCTTACATTTCTCTATGAAATACGCAAGCTGCTCATTTGTACATTTACTTTAGCCAATGCTCGGGGCCTCCGGAGACTTGCGGTGTGCCCCGATGAAGCCCGCGGCTGTGGGGCGGATTGCTGAGGCCGCTGGCGCTTGGGGGATAAACATCACAGACAGCACCGAAATTCACCCAGCTTTCGTTACCATTTGCACGGGCATTCCGACTTGCGGTCTGCCGCACTGTCCATGCGGCATGCACCCGGGATGGATGCGATTCGCGTGGAGCCCGCAGGCGGTGCTGACGATTCCGCCGGTGCAAGCTTAGCTCTCACACCATCAGCACTGCTGCAACAAAGCACATCTCCCACCGCGTTGACACTTACCCATCAATATAATTGATGGATACACGACACGTGCCGCGCTAGCTACCGGCCTGTACGGATGCAAGGGGGGCCCGCCCTTTTTCCGGCTTCGAGGAAGCCGACACCCGACTTGTCCACTTCCCCCTCGCACGGTGCTCTGGCGATCTAAATGACGCCCAGCACCGTGCGGCAGCGCACGAACTTGATTTTGCCCAGTGCCTTGGTGAGAATGTCAGACACCATGTTGTTGGTGGTGCAATAGCTGAGCTTAACCTCACCGTGCGTGGCCGTTTCACACACGATGTGATGGTGCACGTCGATGTAGCGCACCGACGTGATGGGGTTGTTGCCGAGGCTGAGCGCGCCTTGTGAATCCAGCTGGATGTTGGCGGCACCGGGTGACAGGTCCAGGTCGCCCACCAGCTTGCGCAGCCACATAGTGCCTCGCGCATGGTTGCTGTGGCGGCATGGTACTCGGCCTCCACGGACGAGGCAGCCACGGTGCGCTGCAACTGGCTGCTTCAGCTGACCGCTTCACTGCCGAGCAAGAATGTGTAGCCCGTGGTGGACCGGTGGGTGGCTGGGTTGCTGGCCCTGTCCGCATCATTGTACCCACCAAAGTTGCTGGTGTTGCCGCCACTGTCACCACGGTACCACAGCCCGAGTGTGCGGGTGCCGGATAGGTAGTGCAGCCTTCCCAGCACGAGCCCCATGTGGGCCTTGGTGGGGGCGGGCATGTGTTGCACGAGCATGCTCAGTGTGTGCGATGTCCGGGCGTGTGCTGATGGCCACCGCCACTGCCGTCGGGCATGTTAGACTTAGCACTGTCAGTGCTACCACCCGAGCAGCGGTGGACTTCCCGACTCTCCGCCACCACCGCTGCTGCTGCTGTCGGGGATGCGGGCCGTCACTGACCGGGCCCAGCGGCATGTGCAGGGACTGCCGTTGACTGTGGGTGTTGGGGTGGAAGGGGTGGTGTTGGGGTCGCCGGGGGCAGGGTGGCCACTGGGGTCGGCAGCATGGTGGGCGGTGTAGAGCCGCCGATGGGGTCCCTGCCGCCGGGGCAGGCGGGGCTAATGCTGAAGGGGGTGCCCACCCGTTGTGAACCGGGGCGCGGCGGTTGTCATCGAAGGTGACATTGCTGCTCACGGTCACCTTGCCCTCGACGAGGACATGGTGGGTGGCTGTGCCGTGCTCCGGTCGGTGGTAGGTTCCCGCCTTTGCATGAGGACCGAGTTTGTCCTGCTGGCTGGCTGGGATGCGGATGTAGGCCAGGCAGCCGAAGGTGCAGAGGTGGCTGACGTCGGGGGGGACGCCGTGATAAGCTGCCCACGGTGTGGCCTCCCGGCCCTGAGAGGGGGCAGCATTGCGCAGGAGGTTGGTGTAGAGTGCAGCCTCCACCCAGTAGCTGATCGGGAGTGCTGCGTCATGCAGCATCGCCCACACATGGTCGAGGAATGTGTGGTTGAGTCACTCCACTGCTCCGTTCTGCTCTGGGGTGTACGGCGCCGAGTGGGTGTGTGC